AAAAGAAATCAAATAAAATGATCAAATTCTTTTGATAATCCCCTGTTTCAATTCCCTTGATGATTACTTCAAAGTACAGTGCTTTTTCTGTTTTCTTTCATGCTAAATGCTGGTTGGCTGCTTTAATATAGGCTAATGGTTAAAATGGGTTTATAGAGTGGTGCGTAACGGTATTGTACAGCATTCAATAAATGCATATGCGCGTTTTGACAAGGCCCCTTTTAAGTATTTTATTGCTTTAAAAAGGTATTAAGAAATAAGCTATACACGTACTTTTCATCATTTTCTAACTCACCTTGAAATGTGAGTTGTGTATCGCGGATTATATCCGTTCCAGGCTCGATAGGGCGTGTTGCTTTTAACGTTTCTACTTACGTGTGACACACTCGCAAACATCGTAAAATCCAACTGCGAATTTCTTCATGATATTATGGGAAATTACCACCCATTGTTTGATTTAACATATCTAACTGGTCAGATGAGGGGCAGGTGCAGTTTAAGTGTGGGGGCGCTACACACCCTGCATTGTGAGCATGGGGGGGGTGCAGAGTGCACGATGCTTTAACGTCAAACTTCACTTTCATACGTCTGCCTGAATGGGGCTGGCGGACATCTGTCATCTTTTCATCACTTCATCGTATTCTGTGCTTAAAACTTCCTAAACTATATGACAAATATCATTGGATTCAAAATAATTTAATCAGGGGAACTTTAGATATAATCTGAGATACAACCTTCGTATAACTGCAAAAAATGACGAAGATTAAGGACCAGCGTGCATGTGGGTGTAATGACCTGTGAAGGCAGGCTGAGAAATTCCTCTTAGTATAAGAATGGGCAATACGATGTGCTAAATAACTGGACAAGCCGGACTAAAACAGTGCGGAATTTAGACAGCATCTTATTTTAAACACCACTAAAAAAAAAAAACTGAGAAACGAGAAGCAGCCCTTTCGCAAGTTAGGAGCAGCCTATTTTTCACTCAAAGTGACTCATTTAGAGGGGGTTACTTTACGGGGAAGCGGATACCTACCAGTGGCCAGAGGAAGTCAGCATTTACTCTTTCGGGATTAACAGTTACCAGGTGGGCTGTCTTTCCCAAAGTGCGCTTTTCTATGGCTTATAGCGGACTAGTGGAACCCCTCTGCATGGGAAGAGGCACAAGTTCTGCATGGGAGGAATAAATGACATTTTTAAGACCAGTTTCGGACTATCCAAAGCCGGGGGTCTGCAGTTTGCTGTTAAAAAAGCGAGCGATCATCTGCAGATTCGAGGTTTCCTTCTTCCAATGGTTATAATTGACACAGAGTTTTACTTCTACTGAAGCTGGGGGGAAAGAAAAGACTCGCACATATATCTCTGGTGCTGTTTAAAGGTGGCCGTGTTTATATAGCGGCGCACATGAACTAATACAAATAGCAGAATTTCTCCCTTTAAGAAGTGGGTGTTGCTTGTTCATATGCGCAGCTTACTCTAAACCAGAAAACGAGATACTTCACTGACTTTTGGGATTAACTTTTTAACCTTTGAAGATAATCGAGGCAGTTCAGCACTGCGCTCCTGCAGCGCCTCTTTTTTTGCCCGATGTCCCGCTTCATGCGTGACACCGTGATGCTCCACCGGAGTAAATATTTTTAATGGTATGCGTGGTGTCCCCTGTCATCGGGGCGGCCGGGGAAGCGGGGATGGTCCTCCTACGCCTCTGGGCGCTGCGGCGCCGGTACTGCCCGCGTCCCGTGCTGCTCTCAGGTGTGCTGATATGCCTCGTCTACCAAACGCTGGTTGTCGCCCGGAGCCGCTTCAGGACCTGCCGGCCGGACTGTGGCGACAAGCCGACTGTGGCGGCGGACGTGCGCCTCGACCAGCCGCTTCGGAAACAGCCGGAGCCTCTAGAATCTGCTCCAAACCAGGCAGACGTGAGTGAAATTTTTATATTTACGCCCTTCAAGATGTCTGCATTTCGACTTTGGAAGTCTTTACCTTAGTGTGCACGTTTGCCATACGATGGAAATGATGCCAGTGATTTTAAGGTGTGATATCCTACTTTACAAATGTTATACAAATGTTTTTAATGATAGTCATGTGGAATTATATACTTTTCATCCGTGTGTATTAATTGCGTCCTCACTAATTTACTTTAAAGCCTCGTAGTTATTCAACAGATGTCTGGCCAGTGGTCCGTATAAATGACTTATGAAGTGTGTCCGTATAAATACGCAGAAAGCTTTTCTAGTAGATGAAAGGCGGACTGCGCTGCACGTTTCTGTAGTAAATGAGTTGATTTCGGTGAGCTGTGCTACTGGAAGACGGTTTCCTATGGGATGTCATAAGTTAAGATAAAAAAACGGGGGTTTCCCTTGAGTACAGCTTAGAGAAGCATTTTCAAGGTTAATTGTGGTTCTAAGATGCATTTTTCGCCGAAACCACGGTGGAGGGTTTCTATAACCTCTCCTCATCGTTAAGGGTTTTACTGACGTTTAGATATCATGTTTCTACATCCATGCATTTATCCTCTCGAACTGCGTGTCCAAAACAGGTCCATCTCGAGAAGCAGATTGTACAGAACTCGGTCACCCACAAATTTTAGTTATGTTTTCTTTTTCGGTGGGATCCCCTGTTCCTTTATTTTTAATTACTTGGTTTTCTATAAAAATTCACACTGCTGTCACATATTAGCTATACATTCACACTGTGTGTAGTATATACATAAGTATGAAGTAAGACTGAACACTGTCAACTCTAAACATCTGTCCCCTCAAGGGTCTGCCAACTGTACCCTATAGCTGTAGGTAAATGTACCTTTTAAGGTACAGAAATGGACTCTGAGGAACATTTCTGTACCATTGATGGTACATTAATACTGTTAGTAGTAATAGCTATAGGGTACAGTTGGCAGGTTCTTAAGAGGACAGCCCCAGTGACAAGCAAACGTACACACTGGTACTCTTTTTTTCTGAGTGTGTAGTGTTTGAGGTGGCGGAGTAGACTGCTCTGAGCTGGTGGTCCTGGACCTGAGTTCAAATTAAACACCTCTCCCACCTAAAGTTGTTGTTGAGTAGAACATCGCCTTTTAATGTCTCTGTGAATGTATCTTCTGGCGGACTTCGGACAGTGTAAACGCTGGTTCGCTTTACTCCAGAACGGTGCCCGATTGTCTCTGATTGACTTCATCACCAGTTACACTGTCTAGTAGGCTGTACAATGTCCTTTATGTCTGACTGTGAGGTTTTGCATCTGAAAGCATTCTCCTTGATCATTTGATCATTTTTTCTCATATTCTCTTATTTTATGGTTCTCAGTACTTGTGTAATTTACGGTATGTAATTTACTTTTTATACTGCACCATAGGAGTGTTGGGTATGTTCTCCTCCCCCAGGCTTCTTCAGGGGGCTTGATAACATTAACATTCTGATTATGTCTGTTATCTGTCCCAAAGATCCAGTTAACAGATCTATGAAACCATAAACGCATCAGATGCATTATAATGCAGGTAACATGCGTATTATTGGTGCCATCAGGCAAAAACCTAAAATTGCTCCAGGTTATATTTAGTCAGTCAGAATTTTTAAATTTGAGACAAAATTCAAGTCACCATCTTTCATGGTTTTTGAGATACAGGTTTATTTTGGTACCTAGTTTAGTGATGTTTTTTTATAGTTTACTAAGATAAAATGAAGTGTCAAATTGACAGATCTTTTCCGTTCCATTGAAACTTCAGTTTCAATGGAACGTTCAGTTCAGTTTTTGAAAGAAGTAATGACAAGACATTGGTTGACGAAGAGTAAACATATCAGTTATTTAGTGGGGAAAATTCTTCTTAAATGTGACATTTATGGACAGAGAAATAAATTAGAATCTGAAGCAGTTTTACAGTTTTCACACTTTTTGTCGATACAGTGATCCCCTGTCAATACAGTGATTCCCCCGCCAGTCGCGGAAGATGCGCTCCAGACCCATCAGCGATAGGTGAAAATCCGCGATATAAAAAGAGCATATAAATATTTTTTTTTATAGTTTAAGCTTTAGAATACCCCTCCGACATGCTTTAAACACATGTAAACGTATTAAAAGAACACATATGATATTTGGATGTTAAGGATATGAGTAATGTAATAATAATAATAATAATAATAAATAATATGTAATGTATATGTATGTGGTTCCATTTTAATGATGGCTTTATTCCGAGGAGTTGCCACCCTCTTTCCTCTTTGACTAAAGGAAAATTATGCAGTGGATCTTCTTTTCATCCTTCTTGATGTATCATGCCGTCAATTCATTCAAGCCATAATGGTGAGCGACGTCCGCATAACGCTTTCCTTCCCGAAGCATATCCAGGAGTTTTACCTTCTCCTGAATGGTCTTCCTCTGGCACTTAGGCTCACTACTACCAGAAGGCTTAGAAGATGCAGGATGCTTGGGAGCCATCGTAGAGCTTTAAACAAAATGAAAAGAATCAGACCACAAGCAAAGTACGTGATACACAAAGAACTGTGACGCGTTGGGGAAAAATCCACGATATAGCGGGGGCGCGATAGCTGAACCGCGATACAGCGGGGGCGCGATAGCTGAACCGCGATATAGCGGGGGATCACTGTACATTTAACTGCCGGGACCTGACTAAACAGTGTACACCTAACAGTGTTAGCATCGGTAGGCCTTGATCTTGATGTCGTTCCACGTAAAACAACACGGATTCTCAGAATCTGAAGTCCTCGCAGCATCTCAGAGACTCTTTTTATGTAGGCATGTCTTCTGTGAGACAGTGATGGCGGAGCAAACGTTTGGATGGTTCCTGGTCCGGGGGATGGTAGCGTTAGCAGCACATCTGTCTTACAAGCTAAATGCAGGTTTCATCTCAGCATGAGGACGACAGGATCAATCCGCTAGTTGCATCACAGGTGCAGAAATATCCCCGCAGGTGGGTTACCTGCTCAGGGCCAGGAGATTTACTACAGGACCCAAGGGAATCCAAAGAACAAACTTTGTTTTCATGACGTGTTACACAGATTGGTGAAGAAGCCCCACCCCCATTTCTCCACATTGGTTGGGGGTACGTGTCTGGAGCGTACAGTGCTACCCAAAAGGGTCGGCAGTCCTGTCACTGAAAAGTGACGACCCCAAAGAGTCAGACATGTTCCTCAGTCACACAGGACGGGAGCGTGTCTGGTGTCTGGTGCCTGTGACCACTCTCCATTATGGGCGGTAATGAAGAGGTATGCAGACGCCCTCGCCTGTCAGGATGGGTTGAAATCCATCGCCTCCCGTGTGCTGAGAATGAAAAGTGCTCTGTTTTTTTTTCTTGGATTTTATGACTCTGCGGGGTCAGTGTGATATGTCACTCTGACGACGGGTTCACGAAAATCATGTTCAGTTAATAAAACTGTATGGAGATTGCCTTTATGACTGATGCTGTGTCATAAAGCTCCGTTTTATCTGCAGTAATGTACAAAAATATGAAGACCAGAGATACCCAGGGCATTCAGCCTGCTCTCTGTCAAGGTTTTTTAAACGTAAATGCGAAATGGGCTTTTCCATTCGGGTCGTTTATCCTGTATATATTACCCAGTAGCTCCATCAATCTTGTGTTACTCCCCGGCTAGATGAGATGTGTGTTTTAGGAGCAGAGTGTCTGTGTCCCTGTGCATTTGGCTGTAGACCCACATGCCTGTCAGGCCAGGACCAGCACTTGAAGTGGGGCGGGGGGGACACTGGGCTTTCAGGCTTTGGGAGCCCAAGGACTCGTCCCACACTTTGTGTTTGGTTACATTCTGGGACGATTCAGCGAGCGCTGAGAGCTGCATGTGGCATGTTGTTCCAGCACTCCATGGGGGCACTCACTGAGGGCGGGGGCAGTCACTGAGGGGGGGGGGGCAAAGCTTGAAAATTTGGGAGCCTGGGCAAAATGTCACCTTGGGCTCCCTCATTTTATGATTGCATAGCTGTAAAGCACCCCCCCCCCCGAATCCACCAGGGCACGCATGCCCCCACTGCGCCCCAGCGCACGGGCGGCATTGCTGTTCTGGCCATTTTGGCCCCCTGTCATGGAGCATTCCTTTGTTTGTGGGTAGGAGTGTCCCCCGCAAAATCATTACTACACCCTGGCCACGTGTCGCCTGTGTGTCATCCAAGGAGCCTTTGTTTTGTGGCCCCGCCCATTTCCAAGGAACGGCCAGTTAGAACGTTTGTGGAAACTTGGCGAGCATTATCTCTTTCATCATGGAACAGATATAAATTACCGGTAGATCTCAGAACATTCCCATGGAGCTGTTCAAAACCACAGCTGGCTTAAGACAATATCACTACATTGTTTTTTACATAAACAACTTTCATTTGAAATTTTGTTTCCCTTCTTTACCATTTTTTGTTCATTTTCTTGGCAATTCATTAGCTTGCTTCCAAATGTCATCCTCCAGACGTTTGTATTTTTGTTCTAACCACTTAAATGTACCAGAATATGTGTATGAAGCAGGATATCTCTTCCAGAAGACATAACCACTGTCGCCATCTCTCACAAGCGTGCCCCGAGTGCCGCTTTCATCACAGCCACACGGAGGTCAGCTTCTTCATGCAGGAAGCCTGCTTCACGCTGACCTCTTTCTATCACCGCGCCAATTTAAAGCCTAAATACAGGCACAGCCAAAACAGCATCCAGCGACGGGCAGTCACGTGACCCGACAGACACGAAAAATTCATTCCTGCTCAAAGTAGCCCTAACCCTGTTTAGTTTTATGAAGTTGCCTTGTCCTAATCAACAAAGCAGCCATTTAGTGCCTGGAAAATGATTTAATTATGAGGGTGTAGGTCTATAGGCTATGAAAATATGCAGTTGTTTGAAGATGGATTCAGATTTTTCACGCTAAGTAATTTTAGCACTTCCTACCGATTTGATGCTGATACGAGTCCAGCTAGTATGACAGCCCCTATGTTTGTCCTGCGTCTGGGTGTTTTTTGTTTGTTTTGCTTGCACCCCATCCCATCTGAGATGGAGAAGACGCGGTGCCAAGTCTTTCACCAGTTACCAAGCAAAGACACAGCTCTGCATGAACGGGCATTCGGGGCCTGGGGGCCTTTTCAGCCCCGTTGTGAATGGCCACAAAACCCTGGAGCCGAGATTCTCTCCAAGTCATTCCGGAACAATCGGCCTCTCTTTCGCCACATTCTCCCACGTTCGCTGCTTCGAGTGACTACATGTGCGAGATGAAGCCCGGGATGTGAAAAGGTGGAGGATGTCCTCTGTATCCAGAAGCATCCGTGGCAAGTCCCACCTCTGTGTTTCTTCCTGCCAACCATCTTCTTGCCCATGTATTCCGATCAGAGTCACAGCGGGTCTGGAGTCTATCCTAGGCAGCGCAGGGCACAAGGCTGGGGTACGACCTGGGCGGGATGCCCGTCCATCGCAGGGCACACACACTCACACACTGTGGGCAATATCAAATCACTATTTAGCTTAGCTGCATGTCTTTGGACTGCTGGAGGAAACTGGAGCACCCAGAGGAACCTGCTGTTCTCCCCGAAACTCCACACACACAGAGCGGAGCCAGGATCCTAACCCCCAACCCAGTGAGACCAGCATGGTGGCCCATCTCAGTCATTAAATATAATCATGTAGAACAGAAGAGGGTCCACCAATTATAAAATGGTGGTCTCATTTTTTTTTACATCAGTTAAGCATTTGAAATAGTCTATTTGAGTCACATGTCTGGGCAAAAATAGATCCTTGATACTTGACACTTTTTCTTATATTTATGTGAATGTGTTAAGGAGCAGAGAGACATTGAAAGCATTACAGGGTTTCAGTGAGGGCTGTTAAGCAATTGGAAACGTTTCCGGAACATTCCGGAAACGTTTTATCGATCGGTGACGTCCCTGCCGCACCCGTGCTGCTCGTCTGGGCTGCTGAGTCGTGGCTCTGAGTCCCGTCAGCGTGGACAGTGGCGCCGGCAGACTGAACCGCTCCTACGGGCTAATGCTGAGACCCCCCCCCCCCCTCACATGGTCAGAAGTCGCCGCATGCCTGGGGCCATCGCTCAGACACTTTTATAAGCTACACCGAAACGCTGTTTTCCAGGACCTTCCTGGTGGTCTGCCTGCGGGGGTGGTGGGTGGGCTGGTAGGGAGTAGGATTCCACTCTATTCCGGAGACATCTGCCTATCCAGGGAAGGCCGCAGACAAGAACACTTCTGGTGCGGGGGGGGTGGGGGGTGGGGGGGGTTAAAGATAGTAGTCTTATTTATAACAAAGTCAATGTGGTGTTCAGTGCACACCAGATGTCCACCCATCAAAAGATGACGGGTCATGAGACTTCACTGTCTTCACTGTTTCTCCTGCACACATTGTGTGTCTGTTCCTGCTTAGAATATAACAATAGTAGTAACTCAGTGATTTTATGAAAGTGAATTTAAAAATAGCTGGAAGCCATTACAGTGTGCGTGATTCTATGATGAGTATATTCCTCAGTGTTCCCTTTAAGCTACAAAAGCCCACCCCTCCCTGAAGGATGAATGCAACCCCCCGCCTCCATGGCTCTGCCCTTACGGGGGGGGCATTTGCATGGTTCCAACTATGTAAGCTGCTAACTTGATTGTTGTCACAGCGACTGCTGCCCCAGGCCACGTGCCCATCAGTCCCCTCCTCCTGTGCCACTGCCCCCCCCCCATCCATGTTTTCATTGCTCCGTAGCTCCAGCCAGGACAGGAAGTCTTAAATTTTCCACCCTGTCCGGACAAGGTGTGCCCCCCCCACATCACACCCGATGCACCCCGAGAGGAGGACGTCGTGTTCTGGCGTCAGTCTGAAATGGAAGCGTCCACTGGGATTAAATTGTAATATGGAGCAGATGTGATAACAGTGACCCTAGTTACACACTATATTTTCTAAAGTGATTTAGCTACTAAATGTATTATCTTTTTATACCAGTCTCATCCAATGACATGCTATGTTCAGTAGCTGTTGTTTTCTTCAGTCTGTCTTTTGACTCCACTTGATCACATCTGATTTGCTTTAAGCAGAACACTGGAGTGAACGCCGGAATCCTTCCTTAGCGGTGTAATGCGTAATCTAGAATTTTCCAAGGGAAAATTAGACGTACAAAAGAATGACATGTTTGCGAGTGAAAACAGTGCCAGGAAGAACTGGACTGTTCTGGAATTGCGGCTCCCAGATGGAAATACTTACTGGCACTGCCCAGTTGAAGAAACCGTGCATGTGGGGGGGGGGGGTGAATTTGAGCATGGAGCTTTTTACAGTGGCATAGACAGCAGCTTGTTTGGGTAGCAGCTATTTTATTAGCTTCTCTTCCAGCAAAAACGATTCCCAGGATTCATTCTGGCACCACCTCTCTCTCTCCCCCCCCCCATTTCAGTTGGGAGGCTGGGAATCAGCTCATTACTGCATATGCATGTGCTTGCGTTTTGCAATACCAAGTCAAAGAGGAAACCAGAGCATGGGCACCGTTCAGCTTTATTACACAGGGCTGTGTGACTCCTGCCTATGGCAGGCGTTCAAGGGTAGATCCTGCATCTGAGTTTCAAAATGGCCTGTGGATGTTCCTAATATTGGGGCATTTCAGTGCCACAGTACTGCAGTGTTAGAGAGCAGTACAGGGTTTGCCTGTCCGGTACAGAGATATGATATGTCAGGGGGAGAAGCTGTGTTTATCTATGGATATTTTAGGGAGGGGGCTAGAGCTGTTTGTTTTTGGTAGGGGAGCACGGGAAGTGAGAGGGAGCCAGGTTTCGTGACCCAGCGTCCGGGGCCTCTGCGTAGCGCTAACCGGATTAGCACTGCCGCGGCCTGCCGTTTCCGCACAGACTCGGCGTGACGGATCCCCTAGAGAAACTCCTTCTGAGGCTGCGTGAGACCCGATTTAATGACCCCCTTCCTGCCCGGCTCCAAGTTGCGGTCGGACAGGGCTCCTTTTGAAGCTCTGTCAGGGTTAATCATCATTAGGGTTTCAGCCCGCAGGGGCCCCGTTTGCGGGGATTTGCCGATTATCGTGTCGGCCAGCCGCGGTGGGGCCCATGAAGCGTAAACTGCCAGTGTTTATGTCTCTCTGGTAATGCGCTCAATTTATGACCATTTGAGGTACGATTTTTTGTTTTAAAGTTTAACTGTGGGGGAGGGGGGCGGGGAGATAAAATGGCTGCCAGGGGTCAGGAGGGGAGGGTCACGTCCAAAGCTGTTAAATTATGGCAGTACCTCGATTAAGAAGTCTCATTCAGAGACGCGACGGGCTTTGAATTGAGATGGACGATTGGTCCCTCATGGCCGTCCTCCATTAGGCAGCATGTAGGCAGCGGGTGGGAATGTCAGTACGTTTGTCATAATGCCAAAGTCACATTACAGCATTGTGCTCTTGCAGGAGGATGTGGCCCAGCAGAACCAGCCCGAATGGGCCAGCAGGGTGGTGCTGCTGATGGGTCAGCATCGAGCCTCCGACACCGAGGTCCAGCTCTACCAACGAGTCCTGCAGCGGCTCGGGTACATGGTCAGCATGGCCCACTATGCAGAGACCAGTGCCACACTCCGCCAGGACGATGGCCGGCCAGGTAACCCCACATCCATCCATCTATCCATCCAACCATCCATCCATTTTCCATTGGTCACAGGAGGGGAGATACTGGGACTTTTAAAGGTGGGGGGGGGCATAAAAGAAAAGTTATAATTCATACAGAGGGGCCAATTTAATCTTTAGCCAATGATATGTTTTGAATCGGTGAGTGATGGGGGTGGGCATTTCAGGGACCAATCAGCTTTCTGCGGCTAGTGAGCACTGAGGCTGCAGTGCACTAACGCCGTCCCGCATCACTGCGCCGTGTAAGCACTGAGGCCGCAGTGCACTAACGCCGCCCCGCATTACTGCGCCGTGTGAGCACTGAGGCCGCAGTGCACTAACGCCGTCCCGCATCACTGCGCCGTGTAAGCACTGAGGCCGCAGTGCACTAACGCCGCCCCGCATTACTGCGCCGTGTGAGCACTGAGGCCGCAGTGCACTAACGCCACCCTGCATTACTGCCATTTTCCATGTCACTCCATGTCTCATTTGGTGCCTGGAGCAGGTGGCCACACCAGCATATTTGAACTTTTCCGTGAGTAGCGTGAAAGCTCAGGACTCACAGCTGCCAGTGCATCCCGGCATCCACATGGAAACAGGGGTCAGGGGGTCTTGGGCAGGGTCACCAGGCGAACAGGCGCACCCTTAACGATTCCGCCAGGCCAGTGATAGAGCAACAAGGTCTAGGAGTCTAAAAGAAGAGGAGGAAGCACATTAAGCATGTTTGTTTATTCCCCGTCCTGCAGAGCTGTTCAGTCAGTCAGGATTAAAAACACAAGGTTGGGTTGCCAGTTATAGTAAAAAAAAAAAAAAAAAACATACTTTTAGTTTCTTGATCTTCT